ATTTTACCAAGAAATGAAAAGCATATCATGGATACAACTGTGAATTCAGAGTATTCAAATACCAAAAAATTATTTTTTTAAAGAATTATTTTATTTAGCTTTATTTACTTAGGGTGGAGGGGGGCGGGGAGAGAAAGCAAGCCGCCTGGCCCGGGACTTGAACCATGGTTGACCATGTGGGAGTCCAGCACACTTGATCACCATGACACCTGCCAGCCCCAAATACCAGAGAACGTATGATTTACAAGCAAAATCTATTTCTCAGATAAATAAATCAAAATTTTATAATAATGAAATGTATGACATCAATAGTGATTCCTCCCACAGAAATTCAGAAAAAAATACTAGCAACATAAAACACCAATGTTTTAATGTAAGAGAGGAGAACAGACCAATGTGACATCTTTTAAATAAATAAAAAAGCAGAATTTGGATGAAGAGTCCAATGGAGTAACAGATGAGAAAGAAATTAATGAGCAAAGTTCTCAGTTGAAGTGTCTTTCTGAACTTCAGGGCATTAGCATTCAGCAGTGAGCTTCCATAAAAGTATTCAACCCTCCAAAAGGAAAAAACAAAAAAACAAAAAAAACTACATAAGAGTTCTCAAATTTGAACTGTGAGGCTATAATGAAATCATTAGCTCAAATATCTGCAGTTGTGGAAGTGGACAGATGGAATGAGGAGAGAAAGAACACTATAAAACATGATTTGAGAAAGTTTGGGAATTGTGGTGATAATGATGATAATGAAGACTCCACAATTATAGGTATCAGTGAAGACCACAGTGAAGGGAATGTAGATTTTGAATGTGCTTCCACACTGTACAAGTTTGAGATCAACACATCTCAGGATAAGGGTGATTCTGTTTTATTAGTTCTCAGCAGTGATGAAAGCCAGCAATCTTTTAAAAAAATTTTTATGTTACTTTTAATCACATATATCTTTATAGTGTATAATATCTCTTTTTCCAGCACGATTACCATGCATATCACTCAAGACACATCAGCAGCAGCAAATTGCTTTTCATTTTTTTCAGATTATAATTTTATTCTTATTTTTTTAAACATTCACACACTATACATCATTTGACTTGTAAAGAGAATTTACCTAACATGAAATTCTTCTCAGACCAGTCCAGTTGAGAATACTATACACGTCATCATCAACAGGTAATACACCATTTCTGTGTCCCACAAATGTCATGCCCATTTTTCTCCTGTGAAAGCCAGCAATCTGAACACAGGATGAAGAGGACACTTTGTATTCTGTTGAAGATAGTGGCCAAAGGGAATCTTTAAGTGGACACTCAGGAAATAATGTCACATGACAATGCATTGTTTATAATTGACATAACTCCTGGATTGAGTTCTGATAAAAATTTTCACTTGGAGAAGGAAGAAAAGGCAAGTGAGGGAGCCACTGAGGAAGAGAGAGAAGAGGATGAAAAAGTGAAGAACCATCAGTCTTGACAGAAATAAAGATGAGATTAGTGATGATGAAGATGACTTAAAAGCACAAAGTCTAAACTTCTGAAGTTGACAAGCAGCAGTGTAGACCCCAGTCTGAGTATCAGGCAGTTGGGTGGTTTCTATATTAATTTCAGTGCAGACAAACTATAATCTAACAAGAGAACCCTAACACAGATCAAGGAGAAAGGGAAAAATGAGCTTCTGTAGAAAGTCCCCATTACCCTTGACTTTGAAAAAAATTGCTGTGTCCCACCATATAGTGAGTCAAAGCATCAACTTCAGATAAAAAAAAATGCAGAAAGGAGCAACAAAAAACAGCTGGTGATGGCTGGTTTGGTGTGAAAGCTCCAGAATTGACAGATGAACTGAAAAATGATCTCAAAGCACTGAAGGTGAGAGCAAGCATGGACCCAAAGAGGTTTTATAAGAAAAATAATAGAGATGGCTTCACCAAGTACTTCCAGATTGGAACCATTGTTGACAACCCAGCTGATTTCTACCATTCACGAGTTCCCGAGAAGCGAAGGAAAAGAGCTATTGTGGAACTGCTGGCTGATTCTGAGTTTAGAAGATACAACCAAAGGAAGTACACAGATCATGGCTAAAAAAGCAGCAAATGCAGCAGAAAAAATTTTCTGAAAAGAAAGAGAAGAATTTTTTTTTTTTTTTTTGGAGAGGTTTTTGCTATAGGGCGTGTGTGCTCGCCAGAAAGACAGAGAGAGATAGAAAGCGAGAAATCACCCCCCAGGGGGGATTTCCTCCATTCTCCTCTCGGGATCTTGGGCATGCACACACACACGTGCCCAGCGTGAGTTTTAAGCCACCAGGTCTGGGACTCGAACCGCGGTTGACTACATGGGAGTCCAGCGACATAGCCATTACGCTAACTGCTGGTCCCGGAAAGAGAAGAACTACTGCAATTAAGATTCACCAAGCAAACCATAGTATTTTATATGTCCTGTTCGCTAAAATTGTTATAAAAACTAACACCATCACAAAAATTAATATAGACTTGGTCTGTTTATATAGGATTTCTGTTTGGAAGAAGTTGATTTGAGAGCCAGTCACATGCCCCTTAGAATAAAAATAGATGTGTCTATAAAAGAAACCTTGGCTTCAACTCTTAGGGGAAAAAGAAGAAACTCAACCGTTTTAAGAGAATTAATAATTCTGGAAAGTTTTCACTGCTTAGTCATTTAAAGAAAATTTACTTAAAAGATATTTACAAAGTTTATTAACCTGTTCAAATAACTTTAAAAAATGTATATCAAAGTATATAAACAATATTGTAAAAAAAAAAAAAAAAAAGACTGATTCCCAGTACTGGGACCAGCACTTGGTGTAATGGCTATGCTGCTGTACTTCCAGGTAGTGAAATGCAGTTTGAATCCTGGACCTGGTGGCTTAAACTCACGCTGGGCACATGTGTGTGTGTGTACCCAAGATCAAGAGAGGAGAATGGAGGAGAAGGAATTGTGGCATGGCCACCCCCTTGGGGGGGGTGATTTCTCACTTTCTGTCTCTCAGTCTCTATCTTTCTGGTGAACGCATGCACCCTATAGCAAAAACCTATCTAAAAAAAAAAAAATTCTTAGTACTCTCAGTTCTTTAGAGGTGGACTGAATGGCAATATTATGAATTTCCTATAAGTGTCTTGAATTTGATAGAGATTATGTTGAGAAATAAAATTTATATTTTTAATTTTTATCCTTTAATGTCATTTTCCATGAACTTTTTGAAGTCGGCTCCTATTAGCTATCTATTAGTGTATAATAAATGACTCTAAAATTTAACAGTGTAAGACCACAAACACTTATTATTACATAGTTTTCATGGGTTGGAATTTCAGCATGTCTTAGCTGATGCCTCTGGCTCAGGCTGTCTTGCAGACCACAGTAAAAATACAGGCAGGTTTACAGTCATCTCAAAATTCAACTGAGGAAGAATTTCCTTACAAGTTCACTCACATGGTTATTGGTAAGATTCATCCCCCTTTTTTTCACTTTTTCTACACATTAAACTAGTGGTATGAATCCTTGCATAACCATTGGACAAATTCATGCCCATCAGAAATACAAAGACTGACATTTTATAATCACAATAAAACTAGTTAAAAATAAAATTAATCTATTATGAAAGGTTTTAGATATATTTCAAATTTCACTTTTAAACATATTTAGAAGTTTGTTTTGGACATAATCCAAGGTTGATGAGAATTCTTGCATCACTACTTAAGTTATAAGTCTGAGAACAGATTGATTTAGCCTGGTACTATGCTTTTCTCTCCTTGTGTTCCAAGGCTGTCCAAGTTAATTCCATGTACTTATGGTCAGTGAGGCTCTGGAGGCTCCCTTGACTATAATGTGGGCAAAGAAGTGTTTGGGTATTCTGTAGACTCTCTTAGAGCATCATTTTTTAAATCATGTAGCCCGTGAGGAAATTATATGCGAGTATCCTCTCACACAGCTATACTTCAAGATTTATAAATTACATATCAGTCTATATAAATATGTATATTATAAAAGATATGCAATCTATAAATAGAAAAAGTGAGATTAAAAGGAAATATTTTCAAAATAAAATTTAACTTGTTTTGTATATTAATGGTACACCAAAACTTTTTGTCCTCAAACTGCAGAGACCTGTATTGATGTTCTGGACAGTTGATTTTTAAACACCTTGCTAATTAAATCAGCATCATAATATCATTAGCTAATACTGGAAAGTAAAACCTGTATTTAGAGTCCTTATTTATAATGCTAATGTGTATCTGCATTTCAAATAGTCTTTTTGAAAAGTTTTATCTTTATCTTTTTGGCCTCCATCTTGGTGGGATTAATTTCATCTGTTTGTGTGGCTGAAAGGTGCTCACTCAGGGAGAAGGAGAAATATAATTTTGCCATTTTCTTGTTTTTAAGAAATTTATTCTTATATACATAAATATTTTCATCAATTCAGGAACTTTTTCAAATTACTATTTTATTATTAACTGTTAATTTAGTTAAAAGTGGATGATATAATTTACGAACCTCCTTAACTACCCATAATGGGTTGTGATATTCGGAAAACAAGTACAAAGATGCCATCATATCTCTCAACATAGTAGAGTACAGAATGAAATAGCTGAATGAGGATACCTGTTTACTAAATAACAGTAAAATATAACTTCATTATTTTTAGAGATAGAAGCAAATATAAGTAATAGTTCTAATTTTTTTTTCTACAACCAAATTTATACATATTCCAGTTTGGGGACCGTTATATTAGATCTTTTTGGGATTCATCTGAGTCCTCAACGAGGCCTGGACCAGATGGGGCACAGGAGTGCAAGTAGATAGAACTCTATCGCCCACTTCTGCTGCAACCAAAGCACTCCAATTTCATTTTACATATTGACCTTTTTGATAAACTTTCATTTGAACAAAGGACACCATGGCTACAGCATATATTCAATGTTTTAACGGAGGCATTTACTAACATATTTTGAATATTTTAGAAATAGGTATTAAAGCAAAACTTAAAAAAGGATATGGTTCTTGGAATTTTGCTGTGAGTTTAATCTTGCTTCGGTTAGGGGCTTTGGAAATGCCAGCTACCTCATGCATCTTAAGATAATATAAAATCAGTGGACTCTGACTTCCAAAATTGAAGAGAAAACGATTAAACTCTGGACCAGAGCTAATATAATGGGACTGTAAGTAGAAGAAGAAAAATCAAGTCAATGATTAGTTTTCTTCTTTTAAAGAATTCTAAATAAAATAGAAAATATAAATAAAATGTACATTTATTTATATAGCTATAAATAAAATTATTTTATGTATTACCATACATAGAATGAAATTCCTGATAGCATCTTCTTAATTATAGGAATTTATCAAAGTATGAGTCTATGATTCTTAGTCTTTATCATCAGACTTAAATGATTTATCATCAGACTTAAATATAGATTCATAGAGACTGTTAATTCTGAAGAACAGAAAGAAAAAAGAATAAAAGAATAAAGAAAATAAACAGGTACAGAAAAATATTAAAAAATAATGGCCCAAACTTTCCAAATTATGGAGCACACATCTAAGAAATTCAATGAACTCTAATATGATTAATTCACATTGGAAACATCATAGACAAAGAGAAGCTCTGAAAAGCTGCAAAAGAAAAATAAGTCATCACATATGAGGGGAATCTCAAAAAAGTTTGTAGAAAATGTTCTTAAAATATAAGTTTAGGGACCAGAAAATTAATGGCTATGTCACTGAACTCCTATGTAGTCGACCACAGTTCGAGTCCCAGACCTGGTGGCTTAGGCTCACGCCAGGCGCATGTGCGTATGTGCCCAAGATCCTGAGAGGAGAATGCAGGAGAAGAATTGCGGTGTGGCCATCCTCCCTGTGGGGGTGATTTCTTGCTTTGTGTCTCTCTGTCTCTCTCTGTCTTTCTGGCAAATACATGCACCCTACAGCAAAAACCTCTCCAAAATACACACACACACACACACACATATTTATTTAGGTTCAAAAATTTTGAAACCCATATACATTTTTCCCAAAATATGCATTTTCTACACACTTTTTGAAGGTCCTTCTTACAAGAGAACCTTAGTTAGAGTAATAGCTGACTTCTTATGACAACAAAGGAGTCCAGAAAGCAGTTGGGATGACATAATCAAAATGTGGATGGAACAAACTGTTGATCAAGAATTATATGTCAAGAAAACGATAACCAAAAATTACTAAAAGTTTCTACTAATTATTTTTTTAAAATATTTATTTTATTTATTATTATTTTCATTTTCTATAGAGCACATGCACTCATGAGAGAGAGAGAGAGAGAGAGAGAGAGAGAGAGAGAAAGCAAGCCATCAGATCTGGGGTTTGAACTACAGTTGGCCATGTGGGATTCTAGCATCTCAACCACCATGCCACCTGCTTGCCCCTGTTACTGACTTCTTATAGGAGACAAGGTCAGTATAGCATCTCTTTGTAATGTCAGAATGACTTACTATTGAATCTACTTCCTGTGGGGAAATAAGATTTTATGCTTTTATTGATACATCAAGTTTTCTTAAATTTCTTTTGCTATGGCCACTGTCTCATCCTGTAGGGTTTTTTTTTTTTTAATAAATAAATGATATGTGTTTTAGGATTCCTAGCTGCTCCAGAATTATTTCGAATAATGGTACAATGAAAATCAAAAGCAATTTTTTGTCATTGTTGAAATGTTTGCTATAGAATGTGTGCATTCACCAAAGAGACAGAGAGAGAGAGAGAAAGTGAGAAATCATCCCCTGAAGGGATGACCACACCAAAATCCCTTCTCTTCCATTCTCCTCTCAAAATTTTGGGCATGCATGCACATAAGCCCTGAGGGAGTTTCAAGCAGCTGGATCTCAAATTTTCCATGGCAATACCTACCAAGTTGTATCTAGCCTAATCTTTACAACATATGAAAAATCAGCCCAAGCTTGGTTTAGATTTTCAAAAAAATCTTACCTGTTTGGATAGATGTTTTAAAGCTTTTTTCTTGCTTTTTCTTATGGTAGTAGTATACACTAAAATTTCTATCTTACTAAAATATTACAAATAGACATTTCTGTTGTTTTTCTGCAATTATAACTTATTAAATTATGAAAAACACATTTCACAGTTCTTCTTCCTTTGTGAGAATCCATCTTTTTATTTTTTTAGTTTTTGGTTAAAGTTTTTGCTATAGAGCACACACTCTTGCCAGAGAGGCAGTGAGAGTAAAAGTGAGAAATTACCCCTCAAGTGGGACGGTCACACCATAACCCTTTCTCCTCTAGTCTCCTCTTGGGATTTTGGATACATATGAACATGCACGTGTGCTCAGCATGATTTTCAAGCCATCAGGTCTGGTTGGCCATGTGGGCATGTGGGGGTCCATGCCAATTGCTGGAACCAAGAATCCATAACCATTCAGGGTAGTTCAACAATATGGTGTACTGCTAAAGATGTATTTCCAATGGACTTTATATGTTTTAACTATGTATTCCAAAAAAGGCTATTCAGTCATTTACAAATACACACACACACACACACACACACACACACACACACACATATATATTCAACTAGTAAATAAAATACAGGAGGATTGGCAGGTAGTGTAGTGGTTAAGTGCTAGACTTCCACAAGGCCAACTTTGGTTCGAGTCTTGGACCTGGAGACTTACTTTCTCACTTTCTCTTTCTCTCTGGTCAAATTAAAATATAATAATAATAAATACAATTAAACATATAATTCTTAAATTGTAAAAAAAATTTAAAAAAACAAAAAAACACAAAAGTATAAGAGACTGTTTTTAGTACTTGCTGAAGATCAGATATATAACTCTATTACATTTCCCTCACTTTTAAATCTAGCCGTTTTATCCAAAAAGGAAATGGTATGACATTGTCATCAATCCAAAACTGACTCTTAGCTTTTTTCCAAGATGGCATCAAAAGCAAAGAAGGAAGTGCCTACTCTTCCCAAAGCTAAAGTCAAAGTAAAGACTTTGAATGCCAAGAAGGCAGTGCTGAAGGGTATCCACAGTTTCACACACACACATACACACACACACACACACACACACACACACACACACACAGATCTTAAGTCACCCAACCTCCAGTGGCCCAAGATGCTGCAGCTGTAGGGGCAACCCAAATATCCACAGAAGAGAGCATCCAAGAGAAACAAGCTTGACCACTATGGCATCATCAAGTTCCTCAACCACCAAGTCTGCCATGTAGAAAACAGAAGACAAAAATACACTTGTGTTGGGGCCAGCAGTTAGCGTAATGGCTATGTTGCTGAACTCCCATGTAGTAGACCATGGTTCAAGTCCTGGACCCAGTGGCTTAAACTCATGCCGGGCACATGTGCGTGAGTGCCCAAGATCCCGAGAAGAGAATGGAGGAGAAGGGATTGTGGCGTGGCCATATCCCCGGGAGGGGCTTTCTCGCTTTCTGTCTCTCTGTCTCTGTCTGTCTTTCTGGTGAGCACATGTGCCCTATAGCAAAAACCTCTAAAAAAATACACTTGTGTTCATTGTGGATGTCAAGGCTAACAAGCAACAGATCAAACAGGCTGTGAAGAAGCTCTAGGATAACGAGGTGGTCAACACCCTAATCAGGCCTGAGGAAGAGAAGACATATGTGCAACTGGATCCCAATTATTTTTTAAATATTGCCAACAAAATTGGGATCATCTAAACTGAGTGAAGCTCTCTAATTCTAAATATATATTTTTTCACCATAAAAAGTAAGATCGACTCCTACACATCACCAGTTTCCATCCTAAGTACTTGTAAATCATCCTTGGCAGTACTGTGTGAAGGTTGGAATAAGGCAGGAAAGGATTTTATAAAACTCAATTATTAAGTGAGGAAATACATGAAAACTTTCAGAAAGTGGTATTCATATAGACATAATTTATAATTCTAAAAAATGGTCAAATCTGACTAAATTTAGACAAAACTTTATCAAGACTGTTACAGACTGGGGCGATGCTTGAGGCACATAACCAACTGTGGTTTGAGTCCTGGACTGAGCAACTTGAAAATCACACCATGTGCATGTGCATATAGGCCTTGGATCCTGGGAGTAGAATGCAGGAAAAGGGATTGTGGTGTGGCTATCCCCCCTGGGGGGTGATTTCTCACTTTCCCTCTCACTGTCTCTCTGGAGAGCACCATGTACCTTATGGCAAAACCCTAAAATAAATAAATAAATAAAAGAATGTAACAGAGTTAATGTCTAACTATCTAACAAATTAAAAACTCAAATTCAGAATTTCAAACCAATAACCTCATCAAGTCTTGGCTAAAGCAACACAAGGTAGCAAGTCTGTAGGATCTCTACTACCAAGGCAACCTTCCAGAATGTAGACAAACTAAGCATTCAAGACTCAACACTAAAGAATAACAGTATTTACATGCGGTCAGTTATTCTAGGACCATGACTTAAAAAATGAGAACAGGTCAACCACTGCTGGAACTCTTCTGATATTTTCTGTGCAACTTTGATGCTTATTGAGATCACAGCCATGTGAAAACACAAAAAAATATTTTGGTGTCACTACAAGGAAGAAAAAATGACAAGAAGTGTTATGAGGAAAAGATAAAAACTAACTTTTTTCTTTAGAAGAGGGGTATTTTCAGAAGAAGATTTAAAAAACCTTTTTAATACTAAGATTAACCCTATACCAAGTAAATCTCTTTTTATCACTACATATTTTTCTAAAATATGTGTTGAAAATGCAATAGAGCTTATATGAAGGTCAATTATATTGAAATGAAACAAGAACATTAAAAAAAAAATAACTAATGACAAGGCTGTAGAGAAAGGGGAACTCTTTTATACCAGGTGGGAATGTAAATTAGCACAGTCATTGTGGAAAACAGTATGGAGTTTCCTCAGAAACACGACATGATCCAGCAATTACACGTCTTGGGTATATATCCAAAGGAAAAGTAATCGATATGTCATAGAGATAGTATACTCCCATGTTTACTGCAGCTCTATTCATTATCGCCAAGAAATGGAATCAACCTAAATGTCCATAAATAGATTAATGGAGAAAGAAAATGTGAGGCGCATACACACACACACACACACACACACACACACACACACAAATGTAACACTAGTTAGCAATTCTAATGTTATTTGAGGTAATATGAATAAGCCTGGATGACATTGTTAGGTGAAATAAATCAGGCATAAAAAGAGAAAGAAATGGCTATTTTCACTCACACATGGAAACTGAAAAAGTTGACCTTGTAGAAATAGAGAATAGAATAGTAATTACTAGAGGGTGGAAAGGTTAGTGGGGAGAAGAGGAAAGGGAGATATTGGTTAGTAAATTCAAAATTACAGTTAGATAATGTTCTGCAACATCGTAGGGTAATTACAGGTAGTAATAATAATTTACTATATATTTCCGAATAGCTAAAAGAGAGGATTTTGAATGTCCTCAACACAAAGTAATGAAAAATGTTAGAGATGATAGATAATTGTCCTAATTGATCATTACATTGTATTCATGTACTGAAAAATTACACTCTATCCCATAAATATGTACAGTTATTATATGTCAATTACAAATAATAAAAAAGAACATTTTATAAAATTACTATATTCCATACCTTTGATGATAATCTCGATTCTTCCTTGGAAATGGACATTGTATATGGTCTTGGGTCCTTTAAAATCTTTATAATGTCGAAGTCTATACCTAAAACAAAAAATAAAACACGTTAAAATTCTGGGGCCAACCCCATAATTAAGGGAGCCAGATCCCACTTGACCAGCTGGGATTCAAACTGGTCATGTTAGCCCGCATGTCCCAAATCCTATTGGTATGGAGGAAAGTGCTATTTTATCACTTCATTTAGGCATTTTTAGGAGTTTATTTGTATTATTTCTTACTATGAATTATATTTGTATCTTTGAGGATTAAATCATCGCTCAAACCAGTTATGGACACAAGACGCAAGTGATTATTTTAAAAAGTTTTTGTATGGCTTTTGTGTAAAGACCAAAATGGCAAGTAACTGGCATATTTATGAACTAAGGCTTCATGGAGCAAAATTACAAATGTATTGTCAAACAAAATAGCTACTTCCCCTGTACTCATGAAGACCTCAGGTATTCACATGTGAGAGTGAGAGAAAGAGAGACAGGAGGACCCTCTGTAGGTTCTGGTCATAGCACCATCCCCTTCCTCCAATTCTCCAGCTCACTGGATTTTTCTTTTTCTTATTTATTTATTTATTTCTGTTTGTTTGTTTGTTTTGGAGAGTTTTTTTTTGCTATAGGGCGCGTGTGCTAGCCAGACAGACAGAGACAGAGAGATAGAAAGCGAGAAATCACCCCCCAGGGGGGATGGCCACGCTGCAATCCCTTCTCCTCCATTCTCCTCTCGGGATCTTGGGCACGCATGCACACGCGCCCAGCGTGAGTATAAGCCACTGGTTCCGGGACTCGAACTGTGGTCGACTACGTGGGAGTCCAGTGACATAGCCATTACGCTAACTGCTGGTCCCCTGGATTTTTTCATTTTAATATTTGATAAAATTCATCAGAGAAGTCATCTGGACATGAACTTTTCTTTGTGGGAAGTTTTACAAATTGCTATTTCAAGATCTTTTATTTTAGTTTTTTTTTAGATTTCATATTTCTCCTTGTATCAGTTATGGTAGTTTGTATCTTTTCAAAATTCGTCCATTTGGGCTAGGTTGTCCAAATTTCTAACATATAGTTGTTTGCTATATTTCCTTATTGTCATTTTTATTTATGCAACATTGGTAGTGATATATTCCCTTTCATTTCTGATTTTTTTAGAATTATTTATTTAATTTTATTTATTATTATTAATTAAATTCTATATAGGGCACTTGTGCTCACCAGAGAGAAAGTGATAAAGCAAACAACCAGGTCCAGGATTCGACCCATGGTCACCCATGTGGGAGAGTCCAGCGTCTTAACCACCATGCCACCTGATGGCCCTGTGATTCCTGATTTTAACAATGTGAGCCTTATCTATTTTTTTCCCAAAGAACCAACTTTTACCTACATTGATTGTTTCTATTGTTTTTCTATTCTATATTGCATTTATTTCTGTCATAATCTTTATTACTTTTTCTTTCTGCTTGCATTTGTTCTTTTTTGTCTTTTAATATATTAGAATATTTATTAATGAAATTCATCACACTGATTAAAAATATGTAAAAGTGTGGGACCTGCAGTTAGCATAATGGCTATGTCACTGGACTCCCATGTAGTCGACCGCGGTTCGTGTCCTGGCCCCGCTGACTTAAAACTCACGCCGGGTGTGTGTGCGTGCGTGCGTGCCCAAGATCCCGAGAGGGGAACGGATGAGAAGGGATTATGGCATGGCCATCCCCCCAGGGGGTGATTTCTCGCTTTCTCTCTCTCTGTCTCTCTCTGTCTTTCTGGTGAGCACACACACCCTAATAGCAAAAACCTCTCAAAAAAACCCTAACTTACTTAAGTGATATTTATAAGGCATTCTGTAGTTGCAGATTGTTGAAATCCTAGTAGATATTCCCAACATCACAACTGTTATTTAACATTGTTCTGGAAATTCTAACCAGTAGACCAAGAAAAAATATGGGCTATTAAGTGGTGAAAATAACACTATTAAAAAATTTTTAAAACAGATTATTTTATCATCTTCCTAGAAAACATAGATTATTGGTGCAGTGGTTAAGGCACTGGACTCCCACATGGCTGACTGCGGTGCAAGTGTTGAAACTGGCAGCTTGAAACTCATTCTGGGTATGTGTGTGCGTGCCCAAAATCCCAAGAAGAGAATGGAGGAGGAGAGATTGCAGCTTGGCCATCTCCCCTGGGAGTTGATTTCTTGCTTTCTGTTTCTGTCTTTCTGGTGAGCACATGCACCCTATAGCAAAAACCTCTCTAAAAAAATCCCTCATTTCTAATCTATAAAATATACAGTATGTAGAAAGAAAATATTAAAGATTTAAGA